ATGCTACTGTTGACGTGGGTAGGTCACTCTCATGCTACTGTTGACGTGGGTAGGTCACTCTCATGCTACTGTTGTCTGGGTAGGTCACTCTCATGCTACTGTTGACGTGGGTAGGTCACTATCATGCTACTGTTGACGTGGGTAGGTCACTCTCATGCTACTGTTGACGTGGGTAGGTCACTCTCATGCTACTGTTGACGTGGGTAGATCACTCTCATGCTACTGTTAACGTGGGTTGGTCACTCTCATGCTACTGTTAACGTGGGTGGGTGAGTCTCATGCTACTGTTGACGTGGGTAGGTCACTCTCATGCTACTGTTGACGTGGGTAGGTCACTCTCATGCTACTGTTGACGTGGGTAGGTCACTCTCATGCTACTGTTGACGTGGGTAGGTCACTATCATGCTACTGTTGACGTGGGTAGGTCACTCTCATGCTACTGTTGACGTGGGTAGGTCACTCTCATGCTACTGTTGACGTGGGTAGGTCACTCTCATGCTACTGTTGTCTGGGTAGGTCACTCTCATGCTACTGTTGACGTGGGTAGGTCACTCAAGTTACTGCTGAAGTGAGCGTAACCTGCCTCATTTAAGTACATATAGCCAGGCATGTTTATGTTGCTGCTCAGCTTGAAATATCATCTCGTTACCTATTCCAGTATAATGTTGATACTGCAGGCAACAATGGGGAAAAGGATGACACTGAACTTCACTATTTTTGACCGTCACCATATCCGTCCTTGACGACGACGTCACCATATCCGTCCTTGACGACGACGTCACCATATCCGTCCTTGACGACGACGTCACCATATCCGTCCTTGACGACGACCGTTACCATATCCGTCCTTGACGACGGCCGTCACCATATCCGTCCTTGACGACTACCGTCACCATATCCGTCCTTGTCGACGACGTCACCATATCCGTCCTTGACGACGACGTCACCATATCCGTCCTTGACGATGACCGTCACCATATCCGTCCTTGACGACTACCGTCACCATATCCGTCCTTGACGACTACCGTCACCATATCCGTCCTTGACGACGACGTCACCATATCCGTCCTTGACGACTACCGTTACCATATCCGTCCTTTACAACGGCCGTCACCATATCTGTCCTTGACGACGACCGTCACCATATCCGTCCTTTACGACGACCGTCACCATATCCGTCCTTTACGACGACCGTCACCATATCCGTCCTTTACGACGACCGTCACCATATCCGTCCTTTACGACGACCGTCACCATATCCGTCCTTGAGAATCAGAGTGAGATTCCTCTAACTTACTTTCTGAGACCTTTACATAAAGCTTCACTCATGTAAAATAAAATTCATCACTAGTTAATTGTTATCTTCTACAGGTGGCGAGATAAGCCCATATACAGGTACCTGCCCCGGAGGATAATAATCCCTACCACCATATACACACAAGTATTCTTAACAGATTCACTTCTGCCTTGTAGTGAAGTAAGTTATATTATAGACAATTGCAAATGTCTACGTTATAATATTTTACAATTTATTATAATATACTATAAATTAGATAAGGCCAACCAAATGTTGCCATGGAATATTCTAAAAGGTTCAATGGGCCATTACTCATAAATTATCAGACAAAATATACAAAAACAGATCAAATTAACTAACAGATCGTTTTGCTAGGCTACTATATCTAAGTCACGTCAGTGACTGAAGGCCGTCTGAATGACTCGAATGAGTTGAGATAAGTGCAGCATGTGAAGGCCTGTACAGGTTAGGGAACAGTGCTGTGGATAAGTGGAATAGCTCTCTACAGCATTATTGAGATCAACTGCTTTACAGGTTTTAAGACAAGCATAGAATGGTACATATGTGACAGAGAATGGGTTTACCTGTGACCTGCTAGGTACGCGGCAACAGGTCGCTGCTGTCCTTCTTACTTCATGTCTTCTTCAGGTCACATGAGTGTAGACTACCCGCTCCCCCCCTCCCCCAACTTAATTGCTGAGAGAAGATCTCTTTCAATACTTCCCAGGCAAGTGAGTAACTCTTATACTAGTCATGAGTCACTACTCAGACAAGTGAGTAACTCTTATTCTAGTCATGAGTCACTACTCAGGCAAGTGAGTAACTCTTATACTAGTCATGAGTCACTACTCAGGCAAGTGAGTAACTCTTATTCTAATCATGAGTCACTACTCAGGCAAGTGAGTAACTCTTATACTAGTCATGAGTCACTACTCAGACAAGTGAGTAACTCTTATTCTAATCATGAGTCACTACTCAGGCAAGTGAGTAACTCTTATACTAGTCATGAGTCACTACTCAGACAAGTGAGTAACTCTTATTCTAATCATGAGTCACTACTCAGGCAAGTGAGTAACTCTTATACTAGTCATGAGTCACTACTCAGACAAGTGAGTAACTCTTATTCTAATCATGAGTCACTACTCAGGCATGTGAGTCACTCTTATACTAGTCATGAGTCACTACTCAGGCAAGTGAGTAACTCTTATACTAGTCATGAGTCATTACTCAGGCAAGTGAGTCACTCTCATACTAGCCTTGAGTCACTACTCAGGCAAGTGAGTCACTCTTATACTAGTCATGAGTCACTACTCAGGCAAGTGAGTCACTCTTATACTAGTCATGAGTCACTACTCAGGCACGTGAGTCACTCTTATACTAGTCATGAGTCACTACTCAGGCAAGTGAGTCACTCTCATACTAGCCTTGAGTCACTACTCAGGCAAGTGAGTAACTCTCATACTAGCCTTGAGTCACTACTCAGGCAAGTGAGTCACTCTCATACTAGCCTTGAGTCACTACTCAGGCAAGTGAGTCACTCTCATACTAGCCTTGAGTCACTAAGGCACGTGAGTAACTCTTATACTAGTCATCAGTCACTACTCAGGCCAGTGAGTAACTCTCATACTAGTCATGAGTCAAAATGCTTGTGCCTGGCATAAAGAGGTCCGTTAAGATCCAGTACGGTGTGGTCCTGTATGGTGTGGTCCTGTATGGTGTGGTCCTGTATGGTGTGATCCTGTATGGTGTGGTCCTGTATGGTGTGGTCCAGTATGGTGTGGTCCTGTATGGTGTGGTCCTGTATGGTGTGGTCCAGTATGGTGTAGTCCAGTATGGTGTGATCCAGTATAGTGTGGTCCTGTATGGTGTGGTCCAGTATGGTGTGATCCAGTATGGTGTGGTCCTGTATGGTGTGGTCCTGTATGGTGTGGTCCTGTATGGTGTGGTCCTGTATGGTGTGGTCCTGTATGGTGTGGTCCTGTATGGTGTGGTCCTGTATGGTGTGGTCCTGTATGGTGTGGTCCAGTATGGTGTGGTCCTGTATGGTGTGGTCCTGTATGGTGTGGTCCTGTATGGTGTGGTCCAGTATGGTGTGGTCCTGTATGGTGTGGTCCTGTATGGTGTGGTCCAGTATGGTGTAGTCCAGTATGGTGTGATCCAGTATAGTGTGGTCCTGTATGGTGTGGTCCTGTATGGTGTGGTCCTGTATGGTGTGGTCCTGTATGGTGTGGTCCTGTATGGTGGGGTCCAGTATGGTGTGGTCCTGTATGGTGTGGTCCTTTATGGTATGGTCCAGTATGGTGTGGCCCTGTATTGTGTGGTCCAGTATTGTGTGGTCCAGTATGGTGTGGTCCTGTATGGTGTGGTCCTGTATGGTGTGGTCCTGTATGGTGTGGTCCAGTATGGTGTGGTCCTGTATGGTGTGGTCTAGTATGGTGTGGTCCTGTATGGTGTGGTCCAGTATGGTGTGGTCCTATATGGTGTGGTCCTGTATGGTGTGGTCCAGTATGGTGTGGTCCATTATGGTGAGGTCCTGTAAGGTGTGGTCCTGTATGGTGTGGTCCAGTATGGTGTGGTCGAGTATTGTGTAGTACAGTATCGTGTGGCCTAGTATGGTGTGGTCCTATATGGTGTGGTCCTGAATAGTGGTCGAGTATTGTGTAGTTCAGTATCGTGTTGTCTAGTACGGTGTGGTCCTATATGGTGTGGTCCTGTATGGTGTGGTCCAGTATGGTGTGGTCCAGTATGGTGTGATCGAGTATTGTGTAGTACAGTATCGTGTGGTCTAGTATGGTGTGGTCCTATATGGTGTGGTCCAGTATAGTGTGGACGAGTATTGTGTAGTACAGTATCGTGTGGTCTAGTACGGTGTGGTCCTATATGGTGTGGTCCTGTATGGTGTGGTCCAGTATGGTGTGGTCCAGTATGGTGTGGTCGAGTATTGTGTAGTACAGTATCGTGTGGTCTAGTATGGTGTGGTCCTATATGGTGTGGTCCAGTATGGTGTGGTCGAGTATTGTGTAGTACAGTATCGTGTAGTCTAGTATGGTGTGGTCCTATATGGTGTGGTCCAGTATGGTGTGGTCGAGTATTGTGTAGTACAGTATCGTGTGGTCTAGTATGGTGTGGTCCTATATGGTGTGGTCATGTATGGTGTGGTCCAGTATGGTGTGGTCCAGTATGGTGTACTCCTGTATGGTGTGGTCCAGTATTGTGGAGTCCTGTATGGTTGGGTCGAGTATGGTGTGGTCCAGTATAATGAGGTCCAGTATGGTGTGGTCCTGTATGGTGTGGTCCAGTATGGTGAGGTCCTGTATGGAGTGGTCCTGTATGGTGTGGTCCAGTATGGTGTGGTCCAGTATGGTGTGGTCCAGTATGGTGGGGTGCATTCTGGTGTGGTGCAGTATGGTGAGGTCCTGTGTGGTGTGGTCTAGTATGGTGTGGTCCTCAATGGTGTGGTCCAGTATGGTGTGGTCCAATATAGTGTGGTGCATTCTGGTGTGGTGCAGTATTGTGTGGTCCTGTGTGGCGTGGTCCAGTATGGTGTGGTCCAGTATGGTGTGGTCCAAAATTATGTGGTGCATTCTGGTGTGGTGCAGTAAGGTGTGGTCCTGTGTTGTGGTCCTGTGTGGTGTATTCCAGTATGGTGTGGTCCTGAATGGTGTCGTCCACTATGAGGTGGTGCAGTATGGTGTGGTCCAATATGGTGTGGTCCAGTTTGTCTGGTGTGGTCCAGTCTGGTGTGGTGCAGCCTTTTGTGGTCCAGTATGGTGTGGTGCAGTATGGTGTCGTCCAGTATGGTGTGGTGCAGTATGGTGTGGTCCAGTATGGTGTGGTCCAGTCTGGTATGGTTCAATTTGGTGTGGTCCAGTATGGTGTGGTGCAGTATGGTGTCGTCCAGTATGGTGTGATGCAGTATGGTGTGGTCCAGTATGGTGTGGTCCAGTCTGGTGTGGTTCAGTCTGGTGTGGTTCAGTCTGGTGTGATCCAGAGTGGTGTGGTCCAGTATGGTGAGGTCCAGTATGGTAAGGTCCAATATGGTGAGGTGCAGTATGGTGAGGTGCAGTATGGTGTGGTCCAGTATGGTGTGGTCCAGTCTGGTGTGGTCCAGTATGGTGTGGTCCACTATGATGTGGTGTAGTATGGTGTGGTCCAGTATAATGTGGGGTAGTATGGTGTGGTCTAGTATGGTGTGGTTCAATATGGTGTGGTGCAGTCTGGTGTGGTCCAGTATTGTGTAGACCAGTCTGGTGTAGTCCAGTCTGGTGTGGTCCAGTTTGGTGTGGTCCAGTATGGTGTGGTGCAGTCTGGTGTGGTCCAGTCTTGTGTGGTCCAGTCTGGTGTGGTGCAGTCTTTTGTGGTCCCGTATGGTGTGGAGCATTATGGTGTGGTCTAGTATTTTGTGGTCCAGTCTGGTGTGGTGCAGTCTCTTGTGGTGCAGTCTGGTGTGGTCCAGTCTGGTGTGGTCCAGTCTGGTGTGGTCCAGTCTGGTGTGGTCCAGTCTGGTGTGGTCCAGTATGGTACGGTCCAGTATGATGTGGTGCAGTATGGTGTGGTCCAGTACAGTGTGGTCCAATATGGTGTGGTGCAGTCTGGTGTTTTCCAGTATGGTGTGGTCCAGTATGATGTGGTCCAGTATGGTGTGGTCCAGTTTGGTGTGGTCCAGTATGGTGTGGTGCAGTATTGTGTGGTGCAGTCTGGTGTGGTCAAGTATGGTGAGGTTCAGTATGGTGTGGTCCAGTATGTTGTGGTGCAGTATTGTGTGGTGCAGTCTGGTGTGGTCCAGTATGGTGTTGTCCAGTCTGGTGTGGTCCAGTCTGGTGGGGTCCAGTATGGTGAGGTTCAGTATGGTGTGAACAGTATGGTGTGGTGCAGTCTGGTGTGGTCCAGTCTGGTGTGGTCCTGTATGGTGTGGTCCTGTTTGGTGTGGTCCTGTCTTGTGTGGTCCAGTCTGGTGTGGTCCAGTCAGGTGTGGTCCAGTCTTGTGTGGTCCAGTCTAGTGTGGTCCAGTATGGTGAGGTCCAGTATGGTGAGGTTCACTATGGTGAGGTCCAGTATGATGTGATCCAGTATGGTGAGGTCCAGTATAGTGTGGTCCAGTATAGTGAGGTCCAGTATGGTGAGGTTCAGTGTGGTGTGGTCCAGTATGGTGAGGTCCAGTAGTGTGTGGTCCAGTATGGTTAGGTCAAGTATGGTGAGGTCCAGTATGGTGGGGTCCAGTATGGTGTGGTCCTGCATGGTGTGGTCCAGTATGGTGAGGTTCAGTATGTTGAGGTCCAGTATGGTGTGGTGCAGTATTGTGAAGTCCAGTATGGTGTGGTCTAGTATGGAGTGGTCCAGCATGGTGTGGTTCAGTATGCTGAGGTTAAGTTTGGTGGGGTCCAGTATGGTGTGGTGCAGTATGGTGAAGTCCAGTATGGTGTGGTCTAGTATGGTGTGGTCCAGTATAATGTGGTCCAGTATGGTGAGTTGCAGTATGGTCAGGTCCAGTATGGTGTAGTCCAGTATGGTGAGGTCCAGTATGGTGTGGTCCAGTATAGTGTGGTCCAGTGTGCTGCGGTCCAGTATGATGTGGTGCAGTATTGTGTGGTCCAATATGGTGTGGTGCAGTATGGTGTGGTCCAGTATAGTGAGGTTCAGTATAGTGTGATCCAGTATGGTGAGGTTCGGTATGGTGAGGTCCAGTATGATGAGGTCCAGTATGGTGAGGTTCAGTATGGTGTGGTCCAGTATAGTGAGGTCCAGTATAGTGTGGTCCAATATGGTGAGGTCCACTATGGTGTGGTCCAATATGATGTGGTCCAGAATGCTGTTGTCCAAAATGGTGAGGTCCAGTATGGTGAGGTCCAGTATGGTGTGGTCCTGCATGGTGTGGTCCATTATGGTGAGGTTCAGTATGGTGAGGTCCAGTATGGTGTGGTGTAGTATGGTGAAGTCCAGTATCGTGTGGTCTAGTATGGTGTGGTCCTGCATGGTGTGGTCCAGTATGGTGAGGTTCAGTATGGTGTGGTCCTGTATGGTGTGGTCGAGTATGGTGTGGTCCAGTATGGTAAGGTCCAGAATGGTGTGGTCCTGTATGGTGTGGTCCAGTATTGTGAGGTCCTGTATGGTGTGGTCCTGTATGGTGTGGTCCTGTATGGTGTGGTCCAGTATGGTGTGGTCCTGTATGGTGTGGTCAAGTATGGTGTGGTCAAGTATGGTATGGTCCTGTATGGTGTGGTCCTGTATGGTGTGGTGCAGTATGGTGTGGTCCTGTATGGTTGGGTCCTGTATGGTGTGGTGCAGTATGGTGTGGTCCTGTATGGTTGGGTCCTGTATGGTGTGGTCCTGTATGGTGTGGTCCAGTATGGTGTGGTCCAGTATGGTGTGGTCCTGAATGGTGTGGTCATGTATGGTGTGGTCCAGTATGGTGTGGTCCAGTATGGTGTACTCCTGTATGGTGTGGCCCAGTATTGTGGAGTCCTGTATGGTGTGGTCGAGTATGGTGTGGTCCAGTATGGTGAGGTCCAGTATGGTGTGGTCCTGTATGGTGTGGTCCAGTATGGTGAGGTCCTGTATGGAGTGGTCCTGTATGGTGTGGTCCAGTATGGTGTGGTCCAGTATGATGTGGTCCAATATGGTGTGGTGCATTCTGGTGTGGTGCAGTATGGTGAGGTCCTGTGTGGTGTGGTCCAGTATGGTGTGGTCCTGAATGGTGTGGTCCAGTATGGTGTGGTCCAATATGGTGTGGTGCATTCTGGTGTGGTGCAGTATGGTGTGGTCCTGTGTGGTACCAGGTTGATGGGGGTTCTGGGAGTTCTTCTACTCCCCATGCCCGGCCCGAGGCCAGGCTCGACTTGTGAGAGTTTGGTCCACCAGGCTGTTGCTTGGAGCGGCCCGCAGGGCCACGTACCCACCACAGCCCGGCTGATCCGGAACTTCTCTTAGAAAACCGTCCAGTTTTCTCTTGAAGATGTCCACGGTTGTTCCGGCAATATTTCTTATGCTCGCTGGGAGGACGTTGAACAACCGCGGACCCCTGATGTTTATACAGTGCTCTCTGATTGTGCCTATGGCACCTCTGCTCTTCACTGGTTCAATCTTGCATTTTCTTCCATATCGTTCACTCCAGTACGTTGTTATTTTACTGTGTAGATTTGGGACCTGACCCTCCAGTATTTTCCATGTGTATATTATTTGGTATCTCTCTCGTCTCCTTTCTAGAGAGTACATTTGGAGAGCTTTGAGACGATCCCAATAATTTAGGTGTTTTATCTCGTCTATGCGTGCCGTATATGTTCTCTGTATTCCCTCTATTTCAGCAATCTCTCCTGCTCTGAAGGGGGAAGTGAGTACTGAGCAGTACTCGAGACGGGACAGCACAAGTGACTTGAAGAGTACAACCATTGTGATGGGATCCCTGGATTTGAAAGTTCTCGTAATCCATCCGATCATTTTTCTGGCTGACGCGATATTTGCTTGGTTATGCTCCCTAAACGTTAGATCGTCGGACATCATTATTCCCAAATCCTTGACATGCTGTTTTTCTACTATGGGAAGATTCGATTGTGTTTTGTACCCTGTATTATGTTTCAGATCCTCATTTTTGCCGTACCTGAGTACCTGAAATTTATCACTGTTAAACATCATGTTATTTTCTGCTGCCCAATCAAAAACTTTGTTGACATCTGCTTGTAGTTTTTCAATGTCTTCAGCAGAAGTAATTTTCATGCTGATTTTTGTGTCATCTGCAAAGGACGACACGAAGCTGTGGCGTGTATTTTTGTCTATATCAGATATGAGAATAAGGAACAGTAGCGGTGCAAGGACTGTACCTTGAGGTACAGAGCTTTTAACATCGCTTGGACTCGATTTTATCTGATTGACTGTTACTCTTTGTGTTCTGTTCGACAGGAAATTGAGTATCCAGCGTCCTACTTTTCCAGTTATTCCCATTGACCTCATTTTGTGAGCTATCACCCCATGGTCACATTTGTCGAACACCTTTGCAAAGTCTGTGTATACAACATCTGCATTTTGCTTTTCTTCTAGGGCTTCTGTGATTTTGTCATAGTGGTTGAGTAACTGTGACAGACAGGATCTTCCCGCTCTAAATCCATGTTGTCCTGGATTGTGCAATTCATTGTTTTCCATAAAACTAGAAATTTGATTCCTAATCACTCTTTCAAACACTTTTATTATGTGTGATGTTAGTGCAACTGGCCTATAATTTTTTGCCAAGGCTTTACTCCCCCCCTTGTGCAACGGAGCTATATCTGCAGATTTAAGTGCTGCTGGTATCTCCCCTGTATCCAGGCTCTTTCTCCATATTACGCTGAGTGCTCTCGCTACTGGTACTTTACATTTCTTTATGAATATTGAATTCCATGAGTCAGGCCCAGGAGCTGAGTGCATAGGCATATTATCAATTTCTCTTTCAAAGTCTTCCGAGTTTGTGGTAATATCCGTTATATTATCTGCAGCTTGAATGTCATTCATAAAGAAGCTGTCTGGGTCATCAACTTTCATGTTGTTTATTGGTCTGCTAAACATAGCCTCATACTGGCTTCTTAGAATTTCACTAATCTCTTTGTTGTCCTCTGTGTACGTACCTTCATTTGTAATTAACGGTCCAATACTGGTCGAGGTTTTGGATTTTGATTTTGCGTATGTGAAAAAATATTTCGGATTTTTCCTTATCTCTTGTATAGCTTTCTGTTCCAATTCCATTTCCTCAGACTCATATGATCGCTTCAACGTTTGTTCTATTTCCTCAATCTCCCTGCTTAGGCTTGTTTTCCTTGCTTGTGATAGTTGTGTCTGCCGAAGCATTTCCGTTATTTTTTTCCTTCTCCTGTACAGTCGTCTCCGTTCTCTTTCTAGAGTGGTCCTCTTTCTGCCCCTCCTCACAGGCACGTGCTTCAAGCAGACCTTGTAAGCTTCAGCTGTCAGTTGAGCTATTCCCTGTGTGGGAGTTTTGTCGCTTAAGACCGTCTCCCATTGAATGGTTGCAAGGTCTACATTTATTTTTTCCCAGTCAATCCTCTTATTGTTGAAATTGAATTGATTGAATATTCATTCTCGCTTGTTGGGTCTCTTAGACCTACTACCGTTATTTATGCTAGTTCGCACTTCAATGAGCTTATGGTCTGAGTATGAAGTATCTGAGATTGTGATATCCCTGATTAGTTCATCATTGTTTGTGAATAACAAGTCTAGTGTGTTTTCGTTCCTAGTTGGTTCTGTAATCTGTTGATTGAGCGAGAATTTGTCACAGAATCTCAAAAGTTCTCTAACCTGTGGTTGGTTATTTCCCGGGTCATTCCCTGCTATGATATTTGTGTTTGCCGTTCTCCATCTTAGACTCGGTAAATTGAAATCTCCAAGAAAGATAATATCTGGAGCTGGGTTTGCTAGGTTGTCAAGTATGTTCTCTATTTTGTGCATCTGCTCTGTGAATTCCTCAATCGTTGTATCTGGCGGTTTATATATTAAAATAATAATTAGGTTTAGTTTCTCTACCTTCATTCCAAGTACCTCTACCACCTCATTAGTTGAATTTAGTAGTTCTGTGCATACCAGATCTTCTTTAATATACAGACCTACTCCTCCATTTGACCTAGTTTTTCTATCACATCTATATAGATTATAATTTGGAATCCAGATTTCACTATCCATGTAATCTTTTGTATGAGTTTCCGTGAATGCCCCAAATATTGAGTTTGACTCTAATAGAAGGCCATTTATGAACTTAACTTTATTTCTTGACTTTGGCTTTAAACCTTGAATGTTTGCAAATATGAATGATTGTCCATATTGTGTGTAACTTCTGGAAGGTTTTGGTAGTTCTCCCCCCTCTCTACCCTGACCCAGCCAGGGTGTGTTGTTGTGGCAATGGTTTGTCCAGTTTTGGAAGTGATACTGGGGAGTGTGGTAGTCTCTGTGTAGTTGGGGGGTGTAGTATGTGTGGGCTTGATGACGAACTGTAGTCCAGTCTTGGGCATTTCCCCCTCTCCATCCGTACTCCTGCCACGTTTCTGCCTGTCTGTTTCTCCCTCTGTTTGTACCTGCCTCTAAAAAATTTTCAGGGCTATTATGTTGGACTTCTTCTCTTATATGGCGCTGTGTACCTCTGACGTGGAAATCGGGGCAGTGAAGATCGTAGCATTTCCTCTCATTGACTGAGAGTGTGCATAGCTTAGGGTGAAAATATCTACACTCTGTATGAAAACGACATCTGCCTTTCCCTAACCAGTTTCGGCATTTCCGTGGGTGCATGAATGAGCATTCCGTGCCTCTGGGCCCATATCTACACTGTCCTTTTGCATAATACCAGCAAATATTTTCATTTGTGATTGTATTATTCTTGTTTGTACCCGTGCACGACTTGGCTACCTCTGTGTTTTTTGTTCCAACTTTCTCGTTTCTGCATTCATTCTCGGTATTGCCCTCATCTTTCTCCTTGTTGCTTTCGTCTTTCTCATTTGTGTTCTCATTCGTCTCATTTTTTCTCTCCTTATTCATATCACCAGTGTGCTCTACAATATTGCCTTCATTTTTGTGTACCTCGACACTATACCCTTCTACATTGCTACTTGACTGACTGGTGTGGTCCAGTATGGTGTGGTCTTGAATGGTGTGGTCCAGTATGGTGTGGTCCAGTATGGTGTGGTCCAGTATGGTGTTGTCCAAAATTATGTGGTGTATTCTGGTGTGGTGCAGTAAGGTGTGGTCCTGTGTTGTGGTCCTGTGTGGTGTGGTCCAGTATGGTGTGGTCCTGAATGGTGTCGTCCACTATGAGGTGGTGCAGTATGGTGTGGTCCAATATGGTGTGGTCCAGTTTGCCTGGTGTGGTCCAGTCTGGTGTGGTGCCGCCTTTTGTGGTCCAGTATGGTGTGGTGCAGTATGGTGTCGTCCAGTATGGTGTGGTGCAGTATGGTGTGGTCCAGTATGGTGTGGTGCAGCCTTTTGTGGTCCAGTATGGTGTGGTGCAGTATGGTGTCGTCCAGTATGGTGTGGTGCAGTATGGTGTGGTCCAGTATGGTGTGGTTCAGTCTGGTGTGGTCCAGTCTGGTGTGGTCCAGTATGGTGTGGTGCAGTGTGGTGTGGTCCAGTATGATGTGGTGTAGTATGGTGTGGTAAAGTATGGTGTGGTCCAACATGGTGTGCTGCAGTCTGGTGTGGTCCAGTATTGTGTAGTCCACTCTGGTGTGGTCCAGTCTGGTGTGGTCCAGTCAGGTGTGGTCCAGTATGGTGTGGTGCAGTATGGTGTGGTGCAGTATGGTGTGGTCCAATCTGGTGTGGTCCAGTCTGGTGAGGTTCAGTATGGTGTGGCCAGTATGGTGGATGCAGTCTGGTGTGGTTCAGTCTGGTGTGGTCCAGTCTGGTGTGGTCCAGTCTGGTGTGGTCCAGTCTGGTGAGGTCCAGTATGGTGAGGTCCAATATGGTGAGGTGCAGTATGGTGAGGTGCAGTATGGTGTGGTCCAGTATGGTGTGGTCCTGCATGGTGTGGTCCAGTATGGTGAGGTCCTGTTTGGTGTGGTCCAGTCTGGTGTGGTCCAGTCTGGTGTGATCCAGTCTGGTGTGATCCAGTATGGTGAGGTCCAGTATGGTAAGGTCCAATATGGTGAGGTGCAGTATGGTGAGGTGCAGTATGGTGTGGTCCAGTATGGTGTGGTCCAGTCTGGTGTGGTCCAGTATGGTGTGGTCCACTATGATGTGGTGTAGTATGGTGTGGTCCAGTATAATGTGGGGTAGTATGGTGTGGTCCAGTATGGTGTGTTTCAATATGGTGTGGTGCAGTCTGGTGTGGTCCAGTATTGTGTAGTCCAGTCTGGTGTAGTCCAGTCTGGTGTGGTCCAGTTTGGTGTGGTCCAGTATGGTGTGGTGCAGTCTGGTGTGGTCCAGTCTTGTGTGGTCCAGTCTGGTGTGGTGCAGTCTTTTGTGGTCCAGTATGGTGTGGTGCCCAATGGTGTCGTCCAGTATGGTGTGGAGCATTATGGTGTGGTCCAGTATGGTGTGGTCCAGTCTGGTGTGGTGCAGTCTGGTGTGGTCCAGTCTGGTGTGGTCCAGTCTGGTGTGGTCCAGTCTGGTGTGGTCCAGTCTGGTGTGGTCCAGTATGGTACGGTCCAGTATGATGTGGTGCAGTATGGTGTGGTCCAGTACGGTGTGGTCCAATATGGTGTGGTGCAGTCTGGTGTTTTCCAGTATGGTGTGGTCCAGTATGGTGTGGTCCAGTATGGTGTGGTCCAGTTTGGTGTGGTCCAGTATGGTGTGGTGCAGTATTGTGTGGTGCAGTCTGGTGTGGTCAAGTATGGTGAGGTTCAGTATGGTGTGGTCCAGTATGTTGTGGTGCAGTATGTTGTGGTGCAGTATTGGGTGGTGCAGTCTGGTGTGGTCCAGTATGGTGTTGTCCAGTCCGGTGTGGTCCAGTCTGGTGGGGTCCAGTATGGTGAGGTTCAGTATGGTGTGGACAGTATGGTGTGGTGCAGTCTGGTGTGGTCCAGTCTGGTGTGGTCCTGTTTGGTGTGGTCCAGTCTTGTGTGGTCCAGTCTGGTGTGGTCCAGTCAGGTGTGGTCCAGTCTTGTGTGGTCCAGTCTAGTGTGGTCCAGTATGGTGAGATCCAGTATGGTGAGGTTCACTATGGTGAGGTCCAGTATGATGTGATCCAATATGGTGAGGTCCAGTATAGTGTGGTCCAGTATAGTGAGGTCCAGTATGGTGAGGTTCAGTGTGGTGTGGTCCAGTTTGGTGAGGTCCAGTAGTGTGTGGTCCAGTATGGTTAGGTCAAGTATGGTGAGGTCCAGTATGGTGTGGTGCAGTATGGTGAAGTCCAGTATCGTGTGGTCTAGTATGGTGTGGTCCTGCATGGTGTGGTCCAGTATGGTGAGGTTCAGTATGGTGAGGTCCAGTATGGTGTGGTGCAGTATGGTGTGGTCTAGTATGGTGTGGTCCAGTATAGTTTGGTCCAGTATGGTGAGGTGCAGTATGATGAGCTCCAATATGGTGGGGTCCTGTGTGGTGGGGTCCAATATGGTGAGGTTTAGTATGGTGAGGTCCAGCCCTGCAAACATTTTCATGTTTTTAAAACATCCTAAAAACGACATTTCATTGTTTTCAGCACGTTTATAATTACGTTTAGAAAAGGTTTTTTGAGAACTTTTATATACAACCTTAGAACGTAAATAATTAACATTTCTAAAAACTTTTTTATAATCTTTTAATTACCTACATTAAAACGTTTAGGGTAAATTAGGGTATAATAATTTTTTAATTCATATCTGAAATAGAAAGGGAGAGAAAGAAAGAAGACATATCTGAGAAAGAAATGGACATCCTATATATGTATGTGTAAATTACAAATAAATAGGGTACAAAAAGATAATTAAAATATTATATTTATTTAATTAAGAATGAGTAATACAACAAAATATATGTAATAGCTCAAAATATATAGACTATATCTAACAGAATATAAAAGTAAAAATTTAAAAATCTATCTATATATGCAATATGTGAACACAATAGATTTTGTGATCAAGCAGCCTGTGATTCATGTCATGCTGAGATCAGTCTGACGTTACAAGCAGTTATTGTTACTTAAAACTAAAACAAGTAAAATTTCCCGAGTATACATATAACATTATAGTTTTTCTATGACTAAAAATAAAAATCTATAAATCAAAAGTTCAGGACTAATTAACTAAAAATATAAATCTACAAGTGAATGTAAACACAGTCAAGTACAATATTCATGTAGAAAGAGAAAGAAAAGATTTCTTTCTTTCTTTCAGAGAAAGAAAGAAAAAGAGAAAAAGAAAGAGAAAGAAAATGAAAGAGAAAGAAAAAGAAAGAAAAAGAAAGAAAGAAAGAAAATAAGAGAAAGAAAAAGAAAGAAAAAAGAAAGAGAGACAAAATATATATTATTCAAGAGAACTTGACAATTAAGCACCTTCAAACAATTTATGATCAAGCAGGCTGTGATTCATGTCATGCTGAGATTAGTCTGACGTTACAAGCAGTTATTGTTACTTAAAACTAAATCAAGTAAAATTTCCTGAATATACACTATATACTATATAACATAACACTATAGTTTTTCTAGTGTAAATTGTAATTGTAAAGTAAAATCTTAAAGATTAGACCTAATTAACTAAAAATAAAAATTTACAAGTTAATGTTAACACAGTCAAGTATAATATTCATGTTAGCACCATGCAAGAAGAAAGGAGACAGAACAAAATTAAGGCAAGGAGAGAGAAGACAGAACAGAAACAACAGAGAGGGGAGAGAGAAATGAGAGAACATTGAAGAGAAGGGGAAGAGAAAGACAAGATAAGAAAAAGATACAAGAAAAATATACAAGATAAAAATGACGTAAGTGAATACCACAAATGTAAAAAGTAAAGGAAGAGAGAAGCTAGAAGAGACAGAAAACGAGAGATGTTAGAAGAGAGGAGGAAAGGAGAGATAAAAAGAGACAAGAAAAACAGGAGAGAAACGTAAAAGAAATTAAAAAAAAGGGACATTTGTGAGGAGAGAAAATAAAGAGGAGACCAGAGAAGACCATATATCAAGAGTGTGAGGATAAACACTTGAATATTTTTTTAGACATCCTCTGCCTCTTGTTGCCCCTCTTGTATACAAATAGTACTTGCAAGTTTTCCCTGAAAAGATATTACCAAAATTAATATTTAATTATTTGTTTATATAAATTACACACACAAACTTTATATATATATAAAATTTCGTAAACCTCATCCTGTAAACATTCATGTTTCTACATGTTATACAAGCTAAGAGGATGAGGGAAGGGGATGTTCCCTCCGTGCTGGATATTATATTTACCAGGAAAGAGGAAGATATATTTATCATTCAGTACCTCCCTCCTTTGGTACCTCCCTCCTTTGGTACCTCCCTTTTCCTCCTTTCAGTACCTCCCTCCTTTTACCCAAGTGACATGGTCACTTGGGTAAAAGTGACCATGTCTTTTTGGGAATAAAGTATGCAATGCATTATAATCTGGAAGAAAATGAGCTTGAAGCAGTTAAAAAACCTGACTTGTGGAGAGGTCATTATGGGGAACTCAGATATTTCCTTAAGGAATTTGACAAACACTTGCTGTTAGGACATGAAGTAAATGAGATGTATGTCAAGTTTTGTGAAATATATGATAATGGCACAACAAAATTTATACTAAAGCAGAGATGCAGAACTAGGAAAAAGGGAAAAATTGCCCAAACATACAAGCAATACAAAGATGCGAGAAACAACAATAGCAGTAAGGAGAGGGGCAGAAAGACTATGACTTTCGGTCATATTCAACAACACAAATATACATACACACACACACATTATTGGAAAAAATTGGAATTGGAATATTGGAAAAAATAATTAAAACTAAATGGGTAGAACACCTGGAGAGAAATGATATAATTTCAGACAGACAGTATGGTTTTCGATCTGGAAGATCCTCTGTATCGAATTTACTCAGTTTCTATGATCGAGCAACAGATATATTACAGGAAAGAGATGGTTGGGTTGACTGCATCTATCTGGACCTAAAAAAGGCATTCGACAGAGTTCCACATAGAGAGGTTGTTCTGGAAACTGGAAAATATTGGAGGGGTGACAGGTAAGCTTCTAACATGGATGAAAAATTTTCTGACATAGAAAAATGAGGGCAGTAATCAGAGGCAATGTATCAGACTGGAGAAATGTCACAAGTGGAGTACCACAGGGTTCAGTTCTTGCACCAGTGATGTTTATTGTCTACATAAATGATCTACCAGTTGGTATACAGAATTATATGAACATGTTTGCTGATGATGCCAAGATAATAGGAAGGATAAGAAATTTAGACGATTGTCATGCCCTTCAAGAAAACCTGGATAAAATAAGTATATGGAGCACCACTTGGCAAATGGAATTTAATGTTAATAAATGCCATGTTATGGAATGTGGAACAGGAGAACATAGACCCCACACAACCTATACATTATGTGAGAAATCTTTAAGAATTCTGATAAAGAAAGAGATCTAGAGGTGGTTCTAGATAGAAAACTATCACCTGAGGACCACATAAAGAATATTGTGCGAGGAGCCTATGCTACGCTTTCTAACTTTAGAA